TGAAATATCGCGATATTTCAGTGTGTTGATATTTTCTTACACCCCTAGTACTGAGGGAWTGGGGCTGAAGAGGTCAAGATAATTTTCTATAAAACTTTCAAGACAAGTTTAAAGTGTTTTTTATTTATTATTATTATTATTTGGGACATAAAATTTTATTTATTTTTTAATGAATATTGTGTTTAAAATAATCTCTTGTCGATGTGGAGAACAGAAGCTTGGTCACGTTCAGAGTGTTTACAGTAAATSATGTCAAACTTTGTCTCTTTCAGAAGTGTGTGCAGATTTGTCTCCGGAGGACTCGTCCTGCGATCRGTTGAATTTTTACCACTTCGACATCTCCCGCCTGCTCCGACACGGAGCCTCRCTGCTCGGCTCCGCTGGGGCCGAGTTCGAGCTGCAGGATGATAAAACCGGTGTGTTTCAGCTGCCTGTTCGCTGTCTTCTGGTTTAGAGGTGAAACGTTGAGGAGTTTCCTGAGCTGAAGAGAGCRCTCTGCTGTAAATTTAAATATGATTTGAATAAAAACAGCTCACCGTCCTTATCTTTTAATAGTTTATTTCAAACTTGTCTGATTTATTCTTGATCAGTCATTTCCTGTTCAGAGCTTTGTTTTTAAACATTTTTAACAAGTTTAAACTCCTCAAACTGCTGCTATTCTTCCACTTGTTTATGATTTCAGCACTTTGTTTTTCATGCACACCCTCTTATCTGCAGAATCAGCCTCCATTGTTCCACACACACACTTATCCTCCCCACACAATGTGTTCCTCCTAATATTTCCTCAACACGTGTACGTCTCCTTCCTGTGTGTTCCAGGTGAGATGGACCCAAAGGAACGTCTGGCTCGTCAGAGGAAGCTGCTTCAGAAGAAGCTGGGCCTGGACATGGGTGCTGCCATCGGAATGGACACAGAGGAGCTGTTCAATGATGAAGACTTGGATTATTCCTGTCAACAGGGCGGGATTAAGACTCAGGAGACTAGACCAACAGCCGGCTGCAGCTCCCGGAACCACGTGGTGAGCTTCTTCYGACACCGTTGCTCTTTAGCCTCAGATAATTACAGAAGGAAAAAGCTGAGTATCTGAGGACAGGATGTCTGGGTTTCTCTCCTGGACCTGCTGCCTCTGCAGCCTGACCACAGCTTTAGAAGGTGGAGGTTGTTTATGAGAGATTGGCTCCCAGGATGAGCCTTTTTTTTTAAAATTATAAATATCGAAACACGGAAATATCGCGACATTTCATTTCCCGAAATTGTATCGATATTCTAAAGTCCTGTATCAATTTTTTTATTAAGGTTTAAAATGTCAACTTTCCTGCCAGCCGTTC